AATGTCAAGTTGTTTGCAACTAATATATGTTTTGGTTATACATTCCTGAACTTTACCATGTGAAAGCATGAGCATATTTATACTTTAAGTATAAACATTTATGATTGAAGCATGTAGCAAACTATTGAACATTATTCCTGAACCTAAGGAATGTTCATGTATCTAGAAAATTGCCCATGGCTATCAAATGTTCCTAGGTACGAAAAGTAGATATTCATGATTTACAAACCATGTTTGTGTATCTAATAAAAAGTAGAAAGGTAATAAAAAATACAAACAAATAGAGAAACCAAACAAGCAAAACAAGTACATAAAATGAAAAAATAAAAAGAAGAAAATAAACAAAAAAACATGCAGTAAAAGAAAGAAGAGAAAAATATAACTAAAATAAAATAGATAGGGGGGGCTTACAATCATGAACTGAGCCTGTCACAAGAAAGTGGTAGAAAAGAAAGTAGGGAAGAAAAAATAGAGGAAAAAGGTAGACACTCCCAGAAAGAATATAAAATATAGCTAAAAGAAAAAAAAAGACATGCAAATAAACAAAGAAAAATAACTTCCCACCATAGGGCGAGCCCATAAAAAAACTAGAGGTAGTGCCCCCTAGCTTATTCCCCACAATAATACTGAAATGAGCATACTAGTTTTCATTCTTATATTTAACTAATATTGATAGATCAAATCCATATCGTACTTGCTTTTATTCTATGTCTATGTGGATTTTAATGAAGGTGTGAATTGAAAACGAATGAAGCGTCACAACCGCTTGCCCGTAGTAGGATTGTCATACACCAGGCTCCTCGGGCATCAACATGCCAAGCGAGGAAGCACCAATGGGACCAATGACAAGGGCGCGTGGTATGACGATGGAAGACAATGTGGAACAATTCCTAAATGAGCTCCCTTTAGACATGCATGTGAATAGGTTACTATCTAAGGCATGGGTTCTATGTGTGTGCTTTAGGAATGATTGGCATGTGAGGCATGGATCGTAGAGAAGTAGAAGAGGCGCAAGAGGGCAAATACTGCAAGGTGAAGACCGAGAAAGCACAACTACTTGAAAACCTAGAAATGCCCATATCTCTAGACGTTGCCTCAAAGTCCGAGTTGCACACCGATACGTCTCCAACATATCTATAAATTTTGTATTGTTTCATGCCATTATATTATCAATCTTATATGCTTTATACATCATTTTATATCATTTTTGCGAACTAATCTATTAACTCGGTGCCAAGTGCCAGTTGCTGTTTTCTGCATGTTTTTTGTTTTACAGAAAATTCATACCAAACGGAGTCCAAACGCGACGAAACTTTTTGACGATTTTTTCTAGACCAAAAGAGACCCCGGAAGCTTCGGGGGGAGTCAAGAAGCCAGACGAGGAGACGACAAGGCATCACCGTGCCCCCTTGTGGGCCCCTCGTGGCTCTGTCTGACCTAATTCGAGCGCTATAAATTCTCAAATATTCCAAAAACCCTAGAGCGAGACCCGAAACAATTATTCGATGTCGCAAACTTTGTTCTTTCGTGATCCCATCTAGAGACCTCCACTAGTATTCTATCGGAGGGGGAATCGATCACGGAGGGCCTCTACATCAACCTTGCCGTACTTTCGATGATGTGTGAGTAGTTCCTCACAGGACCTACGGGTCCATAGCAGTAGCTAGATGGCTTTCTCTCTCTCTCTTTGATCTTCAATACAATGTTCTCTTGAGAGTTCTATTCGATGTAATCTTCTTTTGCGGTGTGTTTGTTGGGATCCGATGAATTGCGGGTTTATGGTCGGATTAGTCATTGAAAGTAATTGAGTTATTTCTGAACTATATTATGTGTGACTGTCATAACTATGTAATGCTTTCCAATCTATTAATTTTCTTTGGCCAAGTTCAGGATTAGATCTTTAGTGGAAGTGGTGCATAGTAGTAGGTAATATTGAGGCATCCTCGCCTCGTGACAAAAGGGGTAGCGAGGCACATATTTTTATTGTTGCTACTAAGGATAAAACGGTGGGTTTTGATCATATTGATTGATCTTATTTTGTCTACATTATGTCATCATGCTTAAAACATTACTCTATTTGTCATGAACTTATTACTCAGAGAGGCAAGCATAGAAGCACTCTCGAAGTGGAATAATAGTAGTAGGCGTTAGTAAGTTTAACGGTCTACTTGTCACGGATGTAATGCCTATGTACCGATCATGCCATGAATAACATCATAACTATGTGCTTTCTATCAATTACCCAACCGTAAGTTGTGTACTCACCGTTTGCTATGTTCTTGAGAGAGATGCCCCATGTTGTAATGTATTATATTTTATTTATTTTTGAAATTTATATATCTACCACTATCAAAATTAATCCTTGCAATAACCAGTACAAGGGGATTGACAACCCTCTTGCCTGCGTTGGGTGCAAGTATTTAGTTTGTGTGTGTAGGTACTGTCGACCTTTGTCTGTGTGAATCTCCTATTGGTTCGATAACCTTGGTTCTCTACTGAGGGAACTACTACCTTCTACTATATTACTTTACCCTTTCTCTTTGGGAAAATCCCAATGGCTATAACAAATAGCACACGCATCGGAGTCGACCCTAGAATTGTGAACTTTATTTAGGGTTTTGTTTCTGAATAACAGGAGGCAAGCCGGAGTTACCGCGAAACTCTAGACTTGTCCAGGACCTTCAGGCATGCCTGCAGGCATGATCCCCCCTACCCTTCCATGAGGAAATTATATTAGACGTAACTATTGTCTGATAGGATTCACAAAGTACAAACTACCACCCCACCCCACCCCAAAGAGCTTTGCTCAGCTACCTGCCCTTATGAGATCCAACACCACCCTCTAAGGTGATGTATCCAAGGCCACCAGTTTGTTGAATAACCAAGTCCTCCTTCCTAGGAGTTGCTATAAGACCTCCCTATCTTAAGTTTTGGGGAAGAAAACCCTACCTTGTTCATCCCTCTTTCTCTATTGTATTTTAATTTAGATAAATTTGACGACTTGAGTAGATAATTTGGTGTGCATGAGTGTTGTTTCCCCTAATTCTTATCCAAAGGCTAGCATAATCAACACACTTTTTTATTGCACGTGCGTTATGTGGGTGATGCTTCACTAGCTATCCCCTTGTTTCTTCATGTGTTTCCCCTGTGTTCTTCGTTTCTTCTCCTCCCCTCCTCCAATTCATTAAGATATCGCAACCTAGCTAGAACGACACATCAGGACGACCATAGGCAGAGCAAATAGGGCACTCATATAAGCCCTCTCATTTGGGGGACCTCGATTTGCGCGTACACATGAGAGGTGTTAGAATATGTTGTATTCCCTATGGATAGTCCATATGATATGCTTGAGGAGGTGCAACATGATGCAAGTTGAGTTTTTGGCATCCTTGTGGGGTGTA